TGCCAATGATAGCTCTTTTTTAGAACTACTGTAATGAAACATGTAACATTAATTCCATGATTATATTTTTACAGGATGCAAACATTTTTCCTCCTGGTCCCATAGATTTAATTTAAAAAGTTACAAGGTGCATGATAATACAATTACTATGATTATACATTGTATCCCAAAATGAAGAGGAACAGGTGATTTGAATTGCATGTGCACATCATGCCTGTTGGCATCTTCTAAGATGCAACCCAACATTTTTCTTCCTGATATCATATAGCAACAATTGTGTAAGCCCAAGAAAAACATTATATGCTTCAAATAATCCTTTCCCTTTAGAGTTGGATTGCTGTACAGTCATATTGATGCAAAATATCTTTGCAGGATTTGTTTTTTGTTTTTAAGTAGAGTAATGCTACAGGAGCTAGTTAAAAACAAAGCAGTCTAATACTGGATCTGGCTATTATCAAACAACTAATAGACAAAAAGTGAGAGTTACTTCTACACTTTTAAATAGAGTAAGCAAGAAAAGGGGCCCCAAGAACATTGAATGTAGTACCATATACATAGAACTTATATTTCATATATTAGCTAGAATTCTTTTGTACAACAAAGGAAATTTTTGTATTCCAGCGGGTGCCTGATAGGTTGGGAAAAGCAATGCTAATGCATCAGCCTAAGGCGGAAGTTGACTCTACACCAACCATACGCTATCTAATCCAGAGCCGGTTCTACCATTAGGCACGGTGAAGCAATCAACTTAGGCAGCTCACCCACAATTCTCCAATGAGGTTGAAGATAGTGGCCCATGACCAATGTTAAAATTAGATTCAACTGCCAATCTCAGTTGGCTTTTGTGGGTGGGATTTCAGGAAGGGACAATCTTATCCTTCATCTGAGGCAGCAAATATCTTAGGCTGGCCCTGATCCAATTGAAATAACTAAACTGTGGTTAAAAGATAAAAGTGGTTGTTTCCTTTCCCCTCCTTCCCAATGTAAATTGGTATAATCTTTTGCTGGGTACTGAAAAGGAAGTAAATAACAATTTGCTTAATTTGACCCAAAGTTCAACAATGCCTCCCAGGAAACTGCTGTCATTATAATTACTTTTATTACCAACTCCAGGAATATAATACTATTGTTTTTCTGCTATGAAGAAATCTAGTATGGGTATTATTCCACATGCTGTTTACATCTGCATTTAACTCTGAATCATTTCAGTCTATTGTACACCTAGGAATGGTTAAAAAACCTGTAATAACTGAAAGAAACAAAACCTCTTCTTCCATATGTTTCAGCACTAACAAAACAGACCTCTGCTTTGTGCATACGCAAAAAGTTTTCCATTTAGTACCCACCCATCCATCCTGCTTCCCAACAAACAATGCCGTTTCACTATTGTTGTATTTACTGTCAGCTTTATTTAAAAAGGAAAAATAAGTTACAGGCAGCTCAAAATAAAATGGATTCGTTCACACATACAAACAGCCCTACACAGTTAAGGAAAACTAAAAATATTTCTGTAGCATAATGAATGTAAGTTTATTTATGGCATGAGCTCTCTTGGGCATCATTCAAATGAATAGGTTGGTGAAAGAAAAAATAAATTACATAAGCAGTTTTTGGTTGACTTGATTACACTCAGAATTCTACAAAGAAAATTTTTGTATCACTTTGCCCAAATAGAGCAGAGATAGATAATCTGATAATGTTCTGGATTTTACTTCCATATTTTCCACTGCCACGCTGTGATTCATGCAAGTTGATGTTGAAAAAAAAATATATTGATGGCATCATGTCAACATTCTCTGTTATAAAAATTTGGAGGCTTAATTAATTTATTAGTAGGGCTTATAGGGCTGCTGCAAACATTGTGGACACAGTGCGCCAGACATTGATTGATAACAGTAATCATATTAGATACCACCATTTGCAAATACCTCAGGCGTCAGTCAGGTCTTCTATACAATTCCAAAACAAATCATACATGTGAGGGACAATGTATTCTCAGGGAGGTCAGGAGGGGATCCTACAGGTCCATAAAAGAACAAACACTGCAAGTTTTCCTGATCTTAACTGATAAACCAGAATCACTTGGAGAAGGAAGTTCTGAAGATCCCCACCTCCTAAGTCATGACCAGCTTTGAAAGACAACCAGTTTCTTGAATTAAACTTGGAAACCAATAGCCAACAAGTACAACCATTTTAGTGATAAACTGACTGGTACCCATACCTGCCCAAATCCCAGCATTCTGGGCTAGGTGATGTTTATGAGTGGTCCTCATCATCAGAAAGCATAGTTCTAATTGAAATGAGAGATAGGATTATACTAATTCAAGGCATGAGTGACATTACCCAGTGTTTCCCAAATCCAGGAAAGATAGTCTCTGATGCAAGATGGACCTGGGCAGAGGATCTCCTTTGCCATACCTGCAAAGGCTTAACAAGGAGGACATTGTTGGAAGAAATATCCTTCTGGGTTCAGTTCCAAGTTGGGAAGAAAGATACTGGAAACATGGTAACTGCTTGGAAAGATGGTTTAATGGTGGACAGGATCACATGCCTTGCATGAAGAAAGAAGGAAGGGCTGAGATGCTGAAAGTGCCTGGGTTTTATGACTTCTCTTGGGATTTGAATCTGAGCTTGTATTCTGACTGATTGTCAGACTCCCATGGGGCCATGCAGGGGCAACTCAGGCTGTCCTGAGTCCCAGGCTTGGTTGAGCCTTGCTGGATGATGATGTAATGAAAGGGCTTTGGGCAATTCCTATAGCTCTACCTGGAGATCTTTGTTATGTAAAATAGGCTGGCCCAGGCCAGAGTAATGGCCCATTAGCAAAGTGGAGGGCTGAGTTTCTGCTTCTGAGGTGAGTTTCTGTTTCTAAGTTTCTACTTCTCTTTTTAGGGGAAATATTCTGCCTTTTCAGTATATCCCAAAATATTTCATTTTCCTAGGAGAGGGGTGGGTTTTAACTTTCAACAACATAAGACAACGTTTGTCAACTTTAAGATTTGTGCACTTCAACTTTCATGCTGGCTGGGAATTGAAATCTTAAATTTGCTAAAGTTGAGAAACACTGCTCTTGAAGGACCCCTAGCGGATGAACTGATTTTGCCTGAGGAAGCAGACTCTGTGCAGAATTAAAGCTAGAATACTGTTATCTTTACACTGATGTTAAATGGGAAGGAAAAAATAAACTTATGACATGCTATTGTGGAATATTCCTAATCTCTTATCCTCTCTCTGATGGGAATCACTTATTTAGGAAGCAAAAAAATCACTGAAGTGGGAATCTACCAATAACTGATTGCTGCTGGCCACAGGACCTCACAATACAGTAGAATTTACACAGCATAGCTGAATGTTAAATTGCGCCAGAACATCTATTACTTTCTCCAATGAGAAGTAAGGTCAAACAACCTCCCAAATTATTTACAATGCACCCTCTAAAAGGGTGCTGCCTGACCACAATAAAAAAATGTAACAGTAAAAAACAAAAGAGTTAAAACTGTTCCCAAATTGTTATAAAATCAATATACACTATATCATACTACATAGTAAAAATGACACTTTATCCAATTATGAAATCCTGAACCAGGCCAACCACCTGTTTCAGAAGGAATATTGGGGCTGACAGAGCATAACACCATTTGGTCTGTTCTAGGCACCAGATTAGAAACCAGGAGACTGTGAATTCCAGTTCTGCCTTGGGCATAAAAGGCAGTTGGGAGAAAAAGACTAGGAGAAAAAAATTGGAACTTTGATACTAGATATGTTGACAGCAGCAAGTTATTATACGCACAAAAGTGGAAGGAACTCCGATTCCCACTATGGATGAATGGCTGCAGAAGCTGATGGGAGTTGGCTGAAATGGCAAAATTGACTATTTTGATTAAAGAAAAGAATATTAGTGCTTTTGTTTCCACATGGAAACCGCTTCTGAACTTTGTGCTTGAAGTGGAAAAGAATGAAACTTTGATTTTGGGTTTTCCAGATTAGATTGATAGGTGCTTATAGAAATGGCTAGTTTGTATTATTATGGGGGAAAAAAAACAAAAAAGTTTTGTTTTAATGTTAATGCTTTATTTTACTGGAGCAGAGGGAGATGAAAGTCAACGCTTCTTTTTCCCAATCCTCCTTCACTTCTCTTCCGCCCCACCTTTCCCCCATTGCTTTCCTGTGTTTACTTTTGTATTTTGTATCTTATTTTATCTTATAACTCGATAAAATGTTTGCTGATTAAAAAAAGAAAGGGGGTTGTGTGGCTTTGGGCCAGTCGTTCTGTCAGTTCATGAAGCTACTCCTGGTCGGACAATTCGTGATCCAAACACTAAATCAGGGGTCTTCAAACTTGACAGCTTTAAGACTTGTGGACTTCAACTCCCAGAATTCCTCCTCCAGTCATGTTAGCTAAGGAATTCTGGGAGTTGAAGTCCACAAGTCTTAAAACTGTCAAGTTTGAAGACCCTTGCGACTAAATCAACACCCGAGCTAATCCGAGCCTGCATTTCTGGCGAAAAACAAAAACAGAAAGAAAAAAAAACCCGGGGGGGTTGACGCAGCGTTCCACTGCAAGCGTGGAAAGGGGACAACCAAGCCCGCCTACAAAGTTAATGACAGTTTATTTTGCTAACCCAATTTTTCTGGCTTTGCTAGTCACACCAAAGCTTAAACCATAAGGGCTGGCTAGTGTAACACGCCCCGCTAACCTGTGGCAAAGTACCAGGTAGGTGGATGAGGGATGTTGCGAACCCAGCCTCGATGCAAATCCGGCCCAACCGGTCCAAACAGCTCCTTCGCCCTTGGACCGCTTGAGGGGCTCTCAATTGGCCCTTGGCTGGGCAAATCCTTCCCCGGCCGAGGCGGAGACAGAGGCAAGCCTGGCTCCGGTGCCTTGCTGTAGGGGGAGCCATGCGGCGGCTTGAGTCTCCTCGCCTCGCTTCTCTTGCCTTTTGCCGGAGGTGGAAACTCCTCGTTGGGGATGGGAGGGTCTAGCGGCTCAGGGCAGAGCTTGCACGCCCGTCCTCCGGCTGAAGAAGCGCGGCGCTTTCCTCTGCCCTAATCTGCCTGGGTCCACCTCTTCCTTCTTCCCGCCCCTTTGCTATCCGCACCGCCGGGACGCTCGTCGGCTTCTTCTGCTTTTGCCACACCAGCATGCAGGTTTTCCAGTACCCCGAGGTGTTTCGCGACGAAACCTCCGTGAGTACCGGCGCCTCTGCCCCGCCACTGCCTTTCTTTTTGCTCCGCTTTCTCCCGTACGAGGTTCTCTCCCGTACGAGGTTCGCTCCCGGGTTCTTAGCGCCTTCGCGTGGTTCTCTCTCTTCCCCCCACCCCCCCTCTCTCAAGGTACATTACCGGAGGAACTATTATACAGGCAGTCCTCAATTTACGACCACAATTGAGCCCAAAATATATGTTGCTAAGTGAGACATTGGTTAAGTGAAGTAGTGCCGTTGTTAAGTTATTAAGGCAGTTGTCAAGCGAATCTGGTTTCCCCCTTGATCCTGTTTTGTCAGAAGGTTGCAAAAGAGAATAACATGACCCCGGGACAATGCAAGCATCAGAAATGAGAGTCAATTGTCAAGCATCCAAATGGGGATGCTATGGTGGTCATTAAGTGTGAAGAATGAATGGTTCATAAGTCACTTTTTTCAGTGCCATTGTAACTTCAGATGGTCACTAAGTGAACTGTTGTAAGTCGAGGACTACCTCTAGTCCAAAACCATCCTCCCCTCCGCATTTGGATGCATGGGATCTTAAAAGAACAATTACATTTGACAAACACCTAGACGAGTTGTGCATTTCAACAAACACCTAGATCAGTTGTGCACTTGAATAAGCACCTAGATCAGTTGTATGCTTGAAGAAACACCTAGAACTGTGGTGGAATCCTCGGGGGGTTACTAATACCCTGAGTTTTGGGGGAGAGGGATATCCAACTAGTGGGATCCCTATATTCTCTGGCTACACCAATTACTGAAATCAGAGACATTCCCACTAGTGTTTACTTTGATCTGGTTGCTCTTTGATGGTACCTTGGAGGCCGCTTATATAGGGGAAAGGGAATTCTGTGCCTGACCTTCAAATTTTAGTGTTGGCACATCTTTGCCATACCCAAGCCTAAAATTAACATAAAACAAAACCTGTTGTTCAAGAAGAAAAACATCTGTCTGCCAAATCAGATGGCAGCTATAACCATGGGCTTGTTAATAACATGTGGGTTGATTTGCTTGAGGTTGTTCCTCAGGTACTTTTTCTGCAACATATTAATTCTCTACATCATGATGTACCAAGAGAAAGTGAAGATAGAGGACATTGTTTTCCAGCAGAGAGACAAATCTGCACTATCTTTTGTTTCCTCCTCACAACAGGTGTATTCAAAGTTGATCCCTATAAGCCAGGAGTGTCAAACTCACGGCCTGCGGGCCAGATGTGTCACGTGCTGGCCCCACCCCTTCACAGTTTAGCAAAGGGGGGGAAAGTCCCAATAGATCACGTGATGCTGCGGGGACACTGTGAGTTTTGGCACCCCTGCTATAGGCACTTCTGTGTAGGTTTCATGGGTAAATTCTTAATTGAAACCTGAAAAATTAAATTTGAGAATGGGGGGAAATGGGCAGTGTTTCGCACTTTAGCTGCTCAGCTGCTCTGCTGTCTGTAGTCCTGAGCAGATCCCTAACACTTGTAATGTGTCAAAAGAAATTCTGCACAAGTACATACCCCAGACATTAAATAAACTCTATTCTGATAAAATAATTGAAATGTCTTTGGAGCTTCCTCTTTCTGCTATTTTGTGAAACTGTAAATTTTTTTCTTCTGCTTTTTTATACCATCTGACACTGAAGTAAATCCATTCATACTTTAAAAATCATTTTGTTAACTAATGATTGGCAAAACTTCAGCTATTGGTCTTAGTTGACTCTTGTTCATTCATTCATCCATTCTATACACCTGAATTCAGGTCCATTCAATATTCAGATCTATGTAATATTCAGCCTATAATCAGGCCTTCCTTTAGCATTTACAAGTGGCTTGAAATCGTTGTTGATACCCTAATGATTTTAGAGATATGCAAGTTTGACATCATAAGGAAAGTCATTAGTTTCTTGGATGTATCCTCATCAGCACTTCCCTTTTCCAATTTATCTAATTTGCTTTGCTTATTTTCTGGGAGAAAGTTCCGACTTTTACATGTTTAATACTTCTAACACCTTCTCCAGTTGAATTTTTGAAAAGGGGGATCATTGTGCTAACTAAATATGGGATGACATGGCATATTAAGCAATGTGTGGTAAGTTTGAAGAAGTCTGTTAGAACCAAAACTTCATCTAGGATTTACATCTGGTTTCTGGCAAAACAACAACAACAATACCCTTACCCATTGTGGACAATTAGTTCATTTAATGGCTGCGGGTGTGCTTAGTGACCATGGTGATCTGCTTAATGTTTACTGCAAAAAATGTTGTAAAAAAAGGCCAGTCATGTGATGACCTGCTTAATGACCAGCATGACTTACAACCGTAATTTTGGCCTTAATTACAGTTGTAACTGAAGGACTATCTATAGCAGGGGTCTCCAACCCTGGCAACTTTAAGACTTGTGGATTTCAACTTGAAGTCCATAAGTCTTAAAGTCGCCAAGGTTGGAGATCCCTGATCTATAGTGATCATGGGTGAGAGCAGAGATCTTGATTGCCTTTTTTGTTAATACATTAGTATTAACCTCACAAACCAATTAATAAACAATGTTGGATCTCTGATAATGTCTTTCTTCCTAAATTGCTGTGTGTATATGAGTTTCTATCTGTGTACAAGTATATTCTGTGTCTACAATTCAGTGCTGACTAATGTAAATGTATTTTCCATTGAACAACATATGCTTCCTTTCTGAATAAAATTGCTCTGCATTGAATAGAAAGACTGCAATCTTGTGCACCCATTGCCAGGAGACCAGTAGGCTATCTTCAATAAAGAAATAATAAACAGAGAAAGGCTAGCAATCTGAAGCATGACATCAATGGTTCTACTGATGTCATGGAAATGAATTCCAAGTCTTTGTAATTAGATTTATTCTCTGGTCAAACAATTACTTTCGCTGAGAGATCATCTTGATAAAGAGGCTTGAATTCCATTGCTGAATATGTGCTAACCCTGTTTTTCTTCTTTTGGGATTACTATGAAGGATGGCAGATTCAGTCCATCAGAAGGATGTAAGTGACTGACATAGTCTAATTGAAAATGCAAGCCAGCTAACATGACAGCCAGCTATCTACCATATTAAACTGGATTTTAGAGTAGCTATTTATTGAGTGCATATCAGAGGTGATACTCAGCAGGTTCTGACCAGTTCTGGAGAACGGGTAGCGGAAATTGTGAGTAGATCGGAGGACCAGCAAATACCACCTCTGACTGGCCCCGCCCCCATCTATTCTCTGCCTCCCGAGTCCCAGCTGATTGGCTGAGTCTTCTTTGGTTGCCCTGCACAGGAGAACGGAGCTGGAAAGCAGGTAATGGGATTTTGCAGTATCCTTCCCCTGCCACGCCCACCAAGCTACGCCCATCGAACCAGTAGTAAAAAAATTTGAATACCACCACTGGTGCATATGTATTCATCGTATCATTTTCTTTTGAAGGAAACAATGTGACGGGGAAAAACAGAAAAGGAATTAAAATTGTTAGCTCTTCAAAAAAAAAAGTATAAAATAAAGAGGGGAAAAAGAAAACCAAAGAAACAAAACTAAAACTACATCATCTCCTTTCATGATCCCCCTTCAGGTCTTTCAATGGTTGAAAGCAATCCTTACCTACACTGAGTTCATGCACTGCTTCATACATTACTTCTCACCAATCTCTTTTTCAGAATGTCATCAACAGTACCCAACCATGATTTTCTCTGACATCTTCTTGATCCATTCACTCTTTCTTCATATATTTGTTTCTCAGTTTGGTATTTGTTTGCTGTATATGACCAGGCCACTCAATATACAGTGCATTCGGAAAGCATCCAGACCCCTTTTACTATTGTAAATTTTGTTATGCTGCAGCCTGATTCTACAGTTGTTAACATTCATTTTTCCCCTCATTAATCTACACTCAGTATCCCATAAGGACAGTGAAAATAGAATTTTAGAAATGTTTGTAATTTTATTAAAAAGAAAAAAGCTGAAATATCACATTGGCATAAGTATTCAGACGCTTTTATTCAGTACTTTGTTGAAGCACCTTTGGCAGCACCTTGAGACTTTGGGGGTACAGCGCAACAAGCTTTGCACATCTGGACTGGGGGCCAAAGGTGGCTTACACAATGTAAAATCATACTTAAAACAAAAAATAAAAATAGCTAACAAAAAGAATCAAATTAGTAAAGTACAATAGAACAAAATTTGGGAAAACAAACAACAAAACAAAAATCAACTCCCACCCCCCACCCCGACGACAGCAGATCACACGAGCCATTTGATGGGTTCCATCCCTCTCTGGGTTCCCCAGGCCCACTGGCAGAACCAGGTCTTCAGTGCCTTTTGGAATAGTATTAACGAGGGGGCCATTCTAATCTCTGGGGGAATGATGTTCCAGAGAGAGGGAGCCACCATAGAGAAGGCCCTTCTTCTCGATCCCACCAGATGTATCTCCCTCAGGGGTGGGACCCACAGTATTCCCTGCCTCCTCGCTCTAAAGGGTCTGGTAGATGTCACTGGCAAGAGATGTTTCTTCAGATAACCAGGACCCAAGCCATGAAGGGCTTTAAAGGTGACAACCAGCACCTTGAATTGCACCCAGCAGCAAATTGGCAGCCAATGCAGTTCCTGCAGGAGAGGTGATACATGTGCACACTGAAGTCTGCACATCGAAGTGGTGCATTTTGCACCAACTGGAGCTTCCGGATGCTCTTGGGGCAGACTCATGTAGAGCGCGTTGTAATAAGACGGGAAGTGACCAGGGCATGAGTGACTGTGAGTAAGGACCGCTGATCCAGGACAGGGCATAACTGATAATCTTAAACAACTCATACCATCACTTCCTAGATGAACAACATCTATTTTTTAATATATCCATAGTTGATTAAAACTGCCATATTTCAACATTGTCATAGCATTAATTTTTTTCTGGGCCACTTGCATTGTGAACAGTTTCAATTCAATGTAATTTCAATTCCACAATATATCACTGCTGTTTTCACACAGATCTCTAAAATAGTCCCTCCAGTTTTCCCACATTTAAGTTTCATCCTAAGCCATTTCATCAGTTTTATTTTTAATTCAATTCAGTCTTCTAGAGCTTTTTTGTATAGCCCTCTTTATCCCCTTCCAAGACAGCTTCTCATTTTCTTCTCCTATTTTAATGTCAGCCTTTCCTTGCTCTCTTTGATTACATTTTTGTTATTTCTGTCTACATCTTACACGATACATTTAATCAGTGTTGGAGCAAAAATTCTCATCCACAGCTTCTTTCACTTCTTCCACCAAGGGTCTTTTTTTTTTCCAATTCAAGTTTTCTCATTTCATTTGAGGAGTCATGCCTATTTTACACTTTTGAAAATAATGTACATTTTCAGTACAATATATCCCCCTCAAAATACAATGCAGTCTTAATTAGATTAGTTGAATAGATAGGATTGCAATATAAATGTCATATCTGTACAGTTAATCGTGGAACCAGTGTTTTATTTGAATGTAAACATGCTGTTGGAGTACTGTACTCAAGGCATGGATATAAATCTTTCTCTGGGGATTCAGATCTTGCAGCAAATAGTGAAAATAAGGTTTGGATAAGTTGCTTTTATTGCAGTCACCAACAGAGATCGACTATTATTGCAGGGTCTAGGAATTAAGCTGTATTTATATCCAAGCAGGGGTTTAAATCCTACCTTTCCTTCTCCTTCCTTATTTGGTGATGGATTTCTTTAATTCTTGGTTTTAGAAACATGAGGTCTATCTGGTCTCAGTGACTTGACAGCTTCAGCACTCTTACATACCTTGATTTAAAAGGAAATGGGAATGGGAAACATGTATTTCCACTCCATTTCTTCAGAAATAATGCAATTTTGTGACACTATTGATCCATTATAAAAAATATCTTACAGTAAAAATGCTTTAATATGAAAATTGGGGCGAGAGATTATTTCTACTAAAGGAGATGTACTCATCTCTGACGATCCATGCTCCAAAGTTCATTGTAACCGCCTTGCTAAAAAAGCACTAAGAGTTGTTAACTTAATTCTACAAAGTTTCTTTTCTGGAAACATTGTATTGTTAACTAGAGCTTATAAAAGTTATGCTAGACTAATCTTGGAGTACTGTTCAACTGTTTGGAATCCCTACCATGTATCTTATATTAGCACAATCGAGCAGGTTCAGAAGTACTTTACGAGAAACGTTTTTGCACTCTTCTGTACATAATTGAGTTCCCTACGCTACTAGGCTTGAAATTCTTGGTTTGGACAACCTGGAACTGTGTGTCACTTGCAGTCAGACTTAAGTATTGAATACAAAATTGTATGTAGTAATGTTTTTCCTGTGGATGACTTTTTTTGTTTTAATAATACACGTGCAAACAACCGTTTTAAACTCAATGTAAACCGTTCTAAACGTGACTGTAAAAAATACGATTTTTGTAATCGACTTGTCAAAGTCTGGAATGCTCTACCTGATTTAGTTGTCTCAGCTACAAATTTTCACAGTTTAGTCACAAATTGACTTCTCTGGACCTCACTTCATATTTAAGAGGTCCATAAAGGGGGCATGCATAAGTGTCCAAATGTGCCTATCCCTGTATGCTAGTATCAGAGTCTGCAAGTACTTTCTTGTAATGAAGTTGGAGCTTTTTATTGAAAAGTCTTTCTTGAAATTTTACACTGAATAATTTATATAAATGAATTCCTGCTACTATTTATGCAATATTATTAGAACATTAGTAGCTATTTGGTTTCTGTGTGTAAACTGATGTTGATCCTTTAAAAAATGGTTATATTCCTGGCCACAGAAATCAGTAGGATTAAGAACCTTAAACTATAGAATCATGCAATTAAGGTAATAAAAGATTCTCTCTTTTGATAAAATGCATGTTAGCATAGGCCAAAGTCAACATGTCATATGGATAACATATGGTAGTAGCAGGTGGACAAAGAAGTCCTCTGCATGTAGCCATGTTACTGAATGTAGGAATTGCAAAAGTTATATCTTTGTTAACAAAATATAGTGATCTATATTTTTGGATGATTTTAGTCCACTCTCCATCCTATATGTCTTATCTTCCTATCAGTGTGCAGTTGAGACAAATGGCATTATATCCACAGACTTCTGTGATAGGATCACAAATAGCTATATTCGATGCTTAATATTGGAGATCAAGTTATAATTGATTGATTAAACAATTATTTGGAAGAAGCTATTGCTCTGCAATCATATAGGTGAATAAGATTATTTACCTATTCTAGCTGCATTATCTACTTTCCTGAAAAATAACTTTTTAAATTCCATATAACAAATTATAATATTAGAGAACCGTATTTTTTTATCCATCTCTGTTTTTCCCCCTAAAGGTAGATGACTATCATGGCTGCAAGATATGTGATCCTTATAATTGGCTTGAAGATCCTGACAGTGAACAAACAAAAGTAAGCATGAACAATAACTTTGGACATCTGGAACTTCTATATAAAGCTATGTGAATTTTCTATATCAAAAGCCATTTAAAAAGGTACATGAGAAGGATTTGAGGTTCAATCCTGGCATTTCTAGGCAGGACTAAGAGAAAAATTATGGAAATTAATTGCAAATCTCCATACGCAGTTATGAATATAAATGGAACAGTAGTTTAGTCCTTTTGATTTCAGGTATAAAAATCTTTAAAAAGATAATTGAAGGATTGCTGCTAGTATAAGCCAATACTTGCTTCCCATAATTATTGGACTAAGAATTCTATACTTCCATTAGAGTTGTACAGCAATTACTGTATTGCTTTGAGCTTATCGAATAAGAAAAGCTGTAGCATAATCAAAGGCACTGGGCCCCAAATTCAATTCAATTCTGAATAGAGCTAGAAGGGACTATGAAGATCTTCTAGTCCAACCACCTGCTCAAGCAGGAGACCCCTATACCGTTTCAGACAAGTGACTATCCAGTCTGTTCTTAAAAACCTCCAATGATGAAGCACCCACAACTTCTGAAGGCAATTTTTTCCACTGGTTCATAATTCTACTGTTAGGAAGTTTCTTCTTAATTCCAGGTTGCTTCTTTCCTTAATTAAATCTCCAATTTATTATATGAAGGACCTCCCCTGTCAGGAATTGCAGGTGCACACTGGAAAATATGTGGCTAATTAAATTGCCTAATTGTTGGTTCTGGATCCTTTTCTCTTCCTTTCTAGTATTTGGTGAAATAACAAAAGAAGGAAGATTTCAATTTTACACTTGCCTTTTCTTCCCCAGTTGATTGCTTTTCATTAAAAAAGTACCAAGCAGTGTTTCTTTTTCCATATACATGTCTAGTTTTTCTTTAAATTAGCATCCAGAACAAATTCATTTGCTACCAGGCCCTTTTAAGCTCAGCGAGTCTTCTTGGTATATATTCATAGGACTCTGCTAGAAACTCCACTGAATGCAATAAAACTTACTTTGAAATGAATTAGTCTGTCTAAAAATTAATACATGGTTTTGCTGTCGTCATCTTCTGTTTTTTTTCTCTATAAAGAATACCTGGGTGAGATGATAGACGAAGCTGTATAGTTATACATCTCACAAAAGCAGTAATTTTTGCATTAAAAGCACTCTACTTTGCAATTAAAGTGGATTAAATTTATCTTCTTGCACAAATATACTTAATATAGGTCAAGTAAGTTGTAGCTGTTAAAGTTCAATTTAAACAAGTTACAATAAAGCTACTTGAACTCATATTTGTATTATCTCCTGTTCCAGGTTAGACATAATGTATGCAGGAAGTAATGTAGTTTTCAAGAAGCTTTACATAAGATTAAATAAATACAAGCAGCAGTAGGCAGTGGGTGTGTACAAGTGCACACATGATACAGAGAAAGTCCCAAATATCTGGAGAGTTTGTATGCAGTTCCTTTCAAGTGGCCAGAATCAAATGCATTGGATGAAAGTATAATCAGGTTATAGTCCTAAGGCCTAAGTGCCATAGGTAGATTGACAGCTGGCCCATGATCAGAACTGCAGAATTTCAGGATATCAAAGGATTATAGTTTCAAGTGTATAGAGTCACGATATAAGTGAGGCTTGTGGTGGCTCTTAATGTACACATAATCCTCACTTAATGATTGTAATCAGGGCTGGAATTTCCACTGCTAAGTGATGCGTTCACTATTGCTCCAACAACGAGACAGGCAGCATATAGATTTAAAAAATAAAAATGAAGTGTGACATCATGTGACCACTTTATTCAGCAATAGAAATTCAGACATCCAATTGCTTTTGTTAAGTGGAATCATCACAAGTTCTTAACTGAGGATATCGCACAGACACCATTTGTGACCACCTACTGGCTTCCCACAAAGTTAATTTGTAGGAACCAGCAAAGATCACAATTGGTGATCGTGGAACCATGGGATGTTGCAGTGCTGTAATTGCAAGCAGGGTGCTCATGAACATTGTGGCTGATGTCAGTATGAGGAATATAAGTAGCTATCACTTGTTCGGCACCATTGGAAGTTCAAAAGGTTACCAAATGAGTGATTGTTAAGTGGGACTATCTCTAGAGTCAACCTAGTAAAGAATGCTCTTGCATCATTGTTCTGCTCATTGCAGCACATGGCACATTCACACATTCACACTCAGCTCTTGTTCTTCACCCTCTGATTGCAGGTGCAGCTGCTACTGATGGCTGCTAGTCATATCATACTCAGGTGCTTGACTGCTCACAACTTCCTCAAGCTAAACCTGTCTGGCACTCCCAAAGCAAGCTGTTTGGTATCAGAATTTTCTGAGTCAGGGCCAACTTCAGCATATTAAGTTAATAATACCATTTAACACTAGTTTGCTCATTCTGGGCGTGTTGATCAGCACACCCAGAAAATATAAAAGTAAATATCTAAATGTAAAAATATAGTCGGTTTCAAAAAATATGCTTGGAGTCCTTTCACTGAGTCCCTTGGTGTGTATGAAAGTTGTATGGTGTGGCGCTTGAAAAAGAAACAAAATGTAGAATCGTCAGTGAAACATGATGGGCATTTTTATTTTTTTGCAAAAGTCTCTTCATCTTATGGCAAAAAAAAATGTGCCACCTTATTTTTATGCTGGAAAAAAGCAAGATAGATAATGAGAAAACTGGATAGCTTGTTCCAGTGTCCAGAAAACTAGGTGACCAATTTAGTTTGGAATTTTTAAAAAAAATATATTAAATTTATAATACAATTTGGTATGAATACTATTAGGCTTTATGCCTAGTGGAGAATTTTTGCTTTTTGATAATGTGAAATACAGTCTTCTTCAAATAATGGATGGATTGCATTTTGTTCTAGTTTTGAGGTGAAATTATACTCAGCACATAACTTTTCTTTCACTATTCAAATCAACATATGTGCTTGTCTAATTGGATATATTGTGTTTCTTTTTCCTTAGGCATTTGTAGAAGCCCAAAATAAAATAACAGTGCCCTTCCTTGAACAATGCAGTGTCCGGGGGCTATTTAAAGAGCAAATGACTGAACTATATGACTATCCCAAGTATAGTTGCCATTTCAAGAAAGGGAAAAGGTATGTCAAGATTTTTCATATATCAGCAACCAATTGATTTGATTCATAGTCAGAATTGTTGCTGGTAATGCTGAGGATTGTGGTTGATGTGCCATACATTCACTAAGTCTCAATACAGTAATAGTTATGTCTATAGTGTATTTGCTTTTGAGATTATTTATTGGGATACTGTTGGTATCTAGATTTGGCCGTACTTAAAATTAATAACAGCATCACACATGTCTTCTAGGTATTTTCACTTTTATAACTCTGGACTTCAGAACCAACGAGTATTATATGTGCAAGATTCTTTGGATGCTGATAGCAGAGTATTTCTTGATCCTAATAAGCTTTCAGATGATGGCACTGTGGCTTTACGAGGTCAGTATAACAGGTTTTCTGCAATGCTTCAATTGGGACTTTTGTGAAAGTTCATCTCCTTTGAGTTATGAATAAAGATGTCACAAATCACAACACATGCCTATGTGGACATTCTAAAAAAATTAACTTCTGTGCATCTAAAGAACATCCAGGTTTGAGAAGTTTTGTCTGTTGCTTACCTAATAAAGAAATAGTGTAACTTTTAACTACGATTATTAAGAATTCCCAGACTTGTATTACCAACACATCTGGCGAGACCCCAACTTTACAAAACTGAAACAGAACAATGATCTAAAAGAAAATATCACTAATGCGTGTAAATAACCTGCAGGTTTTGCATTCAGTGAAGATGGTGAATATTTTGCATATGGCTTGAGTTCCAGTGGATCAGACTGGGTAACGATTAAATTTATGAAGGTGGACAGTGCTGAAGAACTTCCAGATACATTGGAAATGGTAAAATTCAGTTGCATGGCTTGGACGCACGATGGCAGAGGCATGTTCTACAATTCCTATCCCAAAAGCGATGGCAAAAGTGATGGTAAGTGGCAGGCAATAAAGATTTGAATAGGAATCTAGCTTAATCTTCGGCATCTGGGTCCCTAAACCCTGGACCTGGAGTGGTACCAGTCTGTGGCCCGTTAGTAACCAGGCCGCACAGCTGGAGGTGAGCGGTGGGCAAACTAGCAAAGCTTCATATGTACTTGCAGCCATTCCCCTATGCTAACATCATTGCCTCGGCTCCACCTCAGATCATCAGGCATTAGATTTTCAGAGGAGCATGAATACTTCTGTAAGCCGCACATATATGGATCTAGGTTGCACACTCATCCTCCCTCTCACATACATTCTGTGGAAAAATTGTCTTTCATGACTGTATCTAGTTCAAGACAGGTTTCTGAATTTTAAGGGTAACTCGGAGAGCCTGTTTGCCTTCTTTAACAAATAAGTAAGTAAAAGAAATATGGCAGCTTACTTTTAAATAAAACAAATAATGTAGAAATATTATACTTAAGTAATGATGTAATTATCCTAGTAGAGAACAGAAAAACTTTTGGCAAGTAGAGCTGGTATTTCCAGCAATCTGGTAAATAATACAAATTATATAATTTGCTACCTTTCAAGTTGAACAGCTTTTGCTCTGTAGGAGTTGCAAATTCTTATCACTGTTACTTTTGATTGAAAAACTTGCATACATGTAGTCAAATATGCTGTTTCCCCCAGGCACTGAAACATCAACCAATTTGCACCAGAAACTATACTATCATGTCCTGGGAACTGACCAGTCAAAAGATGTTTTATGTGCTGAATTTCCTCATGAGCCAAAATGGATGGGTGGAGTTGAGGTATGACATAACCTTGAAAGATTCACTTAGAATATTGATAAATGATAACATAAAATAAACTGTGTGTAGAGACCCAGCTCTTGTTTGTCAAATACGTTGGCTGTGTTTCTTGTTTCTTTTGTATTAGTCAAATATGATGTGAATAATTCTTTGTTCTAAGAGCTCAATGGAAGGTTAATGGTATATGGACCCCTTTGATAGCTTCTGTATATTTTTCCTGCAACTGCCAAACACCAGGACCTGGAAGAGCTCTTAAAAGTAATACACCATGTAATTCAGGAAGCTCATTAAATCAATTCTCTGAATACAAAGTTGTTAGACAGAATTACCTTTTGGCTTCCTTTATTTAATCTGTACATAAACTAATTTACAGAGTAATTTTCACCCTCCCCAAATTGTATATGTTAACCTTTTATTCTTGCTATACACCAATGATGCAAGACTCCTCAGATGTTTAGCGCAATACTATAGGATTAATGAGCTGTTTGTTTGAAAAGTTTGAGTTTGGTGGTCCCTGATGTCCAAAAGGTTGGCGACCCCTGATTTAGAAAGTATGTTAAGAACTAGCGGTTCATATTTAACTATTAGATATTATTTCTCCACAGTTGATTTCTTTGTCCCATTTCATGGTGTGAAGCAATTTTAAGAAAATTTTTATCATGTGGCCTCTGTAAAAATTTCTGTGTATTATAGAATTTATTTAGGCCAATAGAATAATCAGAAAATACTTTTAGATATCAAATAACAAAATGAAACAAATGTTATATCAAAGATATCATGTAAACCATTACAGAACGAATGGAATATCCTAGATAATTGTAATTGTTCCGGTATTACATTGTCATTCCAACAAGGATTCTTTATTAGAGTCTGATTTAACTTCTTACCCTAAGTAAGAAGTTAACAAATTTAATAAAAGCCCTATTGCTTGCTCACTCTAACTCTACCCCTTGCTGACTCTGATGCTGTTGAATCCATACTATAGAATTACACTGGCATTGCTTTACAAATTATATAAAAAGATACCTAGGTAAAGGTCAGTATAGTGCCCAGATTATAACAGAAAAGTTTAATGCTTTTACTGGTAATCTTGCTTCCATTTTACTAAATTGCACACTAATGCATAAGATATGTTTGGATAGACAATATAATAATTCATGTGCTAGAAAAAGTGGAACTGTGGTTTCTAATGAAGCTGTACAAAAGCATCTTGCTGTGCAACTGGATTGTTAAAGACTTTCCAGGAAAAGACAACTTCATAGAACCTTGATATTGTTGAGCTGCATCTTCCATCATCCCTATTCTGTTTGAAGCATTTGAATAGCATTTCCAACTTAAAGAGAAACACATATGGAATTCTAAATGATGTTTTTATCACCATGAGTTGGGCATTTTTACAGATTTAGTGGGGAAAGATTACCGTGCTTCTCACAAAATAAGGCCGGGCCTTATTTTTTTTTTGACCCCTGAAAAAACAGCTAGGCCATCATTTGGGGGGGGTGACTTAATTTCCTCCCCCACCTAGAGCAGCCCATACGCACGTACCTCGCCACGAGGCCGCTTCTATCGGCCGACGAAAGCTCCCCGAAGGCAGAGTCCCCAGCTGCTTCAGGGCATGGTGTGGCTGCCCAATGTCCCCTCGCCTTTAGGCAGTCTCTTTCGGGCATGGAAGCTCCCCAAATACAGTCAACAGCCACTTCGATCAGCCAATAGAAGCGGCCTCGGGGCGAGCGCGCACACACACTCCCCTCGCTGCGAGGCCACTTCTATCAGCAGATGAAAGCTCCCTTGAAGGCAGAGTCCCCAGCCGCTTCAGGGCGTGGCGTGGCTAACCATGTCCCCTCGCCTTTAGGCAGTCTCTTTTGGACGATGGAAGCTCCCCAAGTGCAGTTACCAGCCACTTTGATCGGCTGGTAGAAGCGGCCTCGGGGCGAGCGCACACACACACACACACACACACTCCCCTCGCTGCGAGGCCACTTCTATCGGCAGATGAAAGCTCCCTTGAAGGCAGAGTCCCCAGCTGCTTCAGGGCCAGGCGTGGCTGCGAGGCGAGCGCACACAGACACTCCCCTTGCCGCAAGGCCGCTTCTACCGGCTGATTGAAGTGGCTGGTGACTTCACTTGGAGAGTTTCCATTGCCCGAAAGAGACGGTCTAAAGGCGAGGGAACATGGGTAGCCACGCCACGTCCTGAAGCGGCTGGGAACTCTGCCTTCAAGGGAGCTTTCATCTGCTGATAGAAACGGCCTCGCGGTGAGGGGAGTGTGTCTGTGTGCTCGCCCTGAGGCGGCTTCTACCAGCCGATCGAAGTGGCTGGTGACTGCATTTGGGGAGCTTCCATCACCCGAAAGAGACTGCCCTAAAGGCGAGGGGACATGGGTAGCCACGCCATGCCCCGAAGCAGCTGGAGACTCTGCCTTCAGGGAGCTTCTATTGGCTATCAGGGTATTCTAGCCTAGGCTACCTGCAGGGCACTCCTAAAGGCAAGTTTTCTCCCCATCCCCCCTGCCCTCCCCCCCATTTTTCTTCACCTCGTGTAGTTCGAATGAACGATGTGAGAAATAGTGGGGAAACGCATGGTTTAAATAGGCCTAAATTTGGGGGGGCGGGGCTTAATTTCAATTCATGCCTAAAAATCATGCTGGACCTTCCTATTGGTGGAGGCCATATTGTTGGAGAAACATGGTAGTTATTAGTTAGTTAATAGATTATGGTTAACCATCTATGTGAGTCTTGCTCACATAGCACTAAAGTATGATTTGATATTGCATCCAAGCACAAACCTTTATGTGTGAGATCTCCAAAAACATAGCAACAAGCTGAAAGTTAGCCTATGGAAAATCTCTAAATCATAACCAAAATTATATTTGGGGGCCTATGAAGAGGTTTATTGCTTTCAGAGCAATTTTGTTGGCTGAGAGATGTGTACTTCCAAGTATAGTTTTAATATAGTTTTAAGCATTTTTAGTCAAATATAAGTTAGTAAATTCAGTGAGATTTACTGTGTTAGAGATTGGGAATAATTTTAGTGTCTTCTGGTTAGGTCTTCAGCTCCAAAATATTATCAACAATCTCATTTTGCTAAAAATATTAAATTCGATGTAATAACAGGAGCTTGCACAGCAAGGTATATATTTATGTGAAGGAACTAATAACTTTTGATTATATTGCTGCAGGTGGTTTCTATGCTTGCAGCCTTAGCTGTTTATTAAAGGCACTTGCTTTGTCCTTCTGTCAGTCCTGATTATTTGTTCTCTTCCTGACACATTTTGACGACTAATATTTGAAGAATGGTTGCTTACTCTACATGAGATGTGTGATGTTAAGTACACTCTTAGGATGTATGAAAACCTTTGCATACTATGTATAAGATAAGGATAAACATTGAAATGGATGCCCATATTAATTGAAATAAATTTGCCCTGAGAGCTCCTATTTTATTGGTTAAGTTGAAAAACAGTACTAGATGTAAAAGGGAAAATAAACAGAACTATGGATAAATATTATGAATTTTATAAACTTTGGAAAGAGTTAAGAAAAAGAAGAACCTAAAATTGCCATAGAAACCAGTTTGGTATAATTTTTAAGGCTTCAGGCCGGAAACCTGGAAATCGTGAATTTTAATACCATCTTGATCTACTCATTTTGTCTTAACCCTATTGAGGGGGCAGTGGCAAACCACTTCTGAAACTGTAGGAACTTGCCCAGGCAGCCTTACAATCAGGCTCATTTGAAAAGAAGAGAAAAAATACATTGCATTTCAGTAATCTCTCCTTCCAATCTGTACCTTTTTAGATTCTCGTGAAATTAATGTTTTCGTATGTAAAATGAAAGATTTAAAGCTATAGTCAGTTATGAACATGATTGAATGATCCTGTGACTGCCACTGGCTTATGTATCAGTCAGAACCACGTTTTGGCTTGCATGCTCCATGATGCTAACCATAATCTCTCAGCTTAGTTTAGCCTAACTCGCAGGATTGTTATAGGATAAATTATGATTAGGAAATAGCCACATTCCCTGTCTTGATTTCCTTGTAGGAAAGAGTAAAATAGCCCAACAATTACCTTTTGTAATGCCTATCTCTTTTTTAAAAGTTTACAAATAAGGGCAAAGATTTCTAGACATCTATTGGTTCAGCAGCTGGCAGCACCAGAACAATCGTGTTTAGGTTCAGAAGTTAAGCAGGGTAGAGCCAGACAGACCTTGAATGGAGGACTACAGTATTGGAATTCCAAAGGACTGACTAGATTGGAAAGTTGAAAAGAACATCCTGGCACAAGACTTTGTCAAACTATTTATGGTGCAGTCAGCAAAACTAAGATTTCATGAAGATCAACCCAGCTGATCTTGGCTTTACATTTTTAACTGATTTTTCTCATCTATATCGGTTCTAGCTAGAAGCAAGCATATTTGATTGGAAATAGGGATGCGTTTGAGATACTTCCCAGAAGGTGGCGCTAGTAAATGGTATGAATCAAGTGAAGCAAAAAGCCATGGTGATTTTAAATGGACTTGTCTTATACGTGCTATTTTTATGGAGAAGATCAATTTATTGGACAAATATAATATATATAATTGGAATGATTAGATTACTCTATAAATATTTCTTCCTCTACCTTGGTCCCTTTTCAAGTAACTCAGGAAAAGCATCCAACTTTGAATGAGTGTGTTTTTCTTAGATGTTTTTTACTGTAAAAGCCTTATTTCTTTATGTAGAAGTATTTATAGTAAAGCACAAAGGAATAGTTTGGGTGGATCTTTCTTTTCAATAAAGTAGTCCAGATAGATCTAATGGAATGAAATTATAAAGCCTTAAGAACAGTGGTAATCTTGAGGATAGATTGTACAGTAACAGGAAACGTGATGCATTAGATTTTCATGAATGTTTTGAATTCTGGAGAGTAAAAACAGACAGACTGGTTATCTCCTCAGGCAGCCTTCCAGAAGAGGAAATAGAACAGTTGTGCTGGAACATAAAACCCCACACATGCGTTCTTGGACCAGCTGAATTGTAACACAGTCAAGATAACAGGATGGATAAGAAAATCAGCCTAAAGAAGGCATGGAAGCTAGACAGGGTAGCAGCAGATAAAGGAAGTAGTCAGAATCAGTGGACTAAAATCCTTGGAAGGAAACCAAATATTGGGAAAATTAAGACTTTAGGAAAATAAGATATGGAATATGTATTTATTTATAGGATAGCCCTACATCAGTCTCTGGGTAAGGAATCATTAAAACCAACGTAATATTACATTTAAAAAATAAATAGCAAGTCAAAATCCTCATTCTGGGCTTAAGGTCCACTGAAGAAGAATGGGCTTAAGCCCCTCCCAAAATGCCAGAAGATCAGGTGCCATGTATATTTCTGAGGGGAAAATGTTTCACAGAACAATAGCTATAAAAAGACCTGACTTCTGATCTACACTTTGGGCTGGAATCTTTAGCAAGCCCTCTTTAGATGATTGGGTGAATAGAATCATATTTAATAGGACTCCCCACACAGGGCTAAAGACTTACAAAAAAAATTTTTTTGATCTTATTGTGGAAAAGGCTCAAACAAAGAAAATGGAACAGGACTAAGCCGACTTTGGTTGATCTCAAAACAATGCTAAGCAGGATTAAGTCGTAGTTAGTATTTTGATGGAAAATCAATAGAAAAATCCCAGTGTCCTATTTTCCCTCAGTGTTTTTAATTAAAAAAAAATCTTATTCTCTAGAATAGGCCTATTTTGGAACAAAAGACCAGTTTGGATATGTAAATTTTAAATAATTCTGTATAAATATGATCTAAAGCATAATCTCTTCTCTCTCAAGTCCTAAAACTAGAAAAACTGACCAGAGTCATTCTATGGGGGAGATGAGCCACTTCTAAATATGGTATGATAAACAAACAAACAAACCAAATATTACATAATAAATAAATAAAACCCATTAAACAAATGAGTCATAAATATTACATATATTCATTTATTTGCTGGGGGAAATGATCTAAATTCAAAGGGGTTCACAAACTTTTAAGCAACACTAGAGGTATATTGATGGCAATAGAAAGGAACTTCATTAAAAATGTATCTGGTTATGAATTTTATAACTTTGGCAGAATATATGTATTAGAAATAGGGAGCCTTTTATTTTCCATTTAAAATTTGGCTCTGAAGACTGAAGGATGTTAAATAATGTCCTGGTATTGCTGGTGGAGGCAGGCTGAAAATTTCAGCCCATTTTTTTTTTGTTTTAACTCTTTTCTTCTTTAATAAAAGAAAAAGAAAAAAAACCGTGCAGCTGGAAATTAATACAGGTAGTCCTCAACTTATGACCACAACTGAGCCCTAAATTTCTATTGCTAAGCAAAACAGTTGTTGAAACACTGCAGCTGTTAGATTAGAAATATGGTTGTAATGTGAATCTGGCTTTCTCATTGACCTCGCTTGTCAGAAGGTCTCAAAAGATGATCACATGACCCCAATTGTCATAAATATGACCCCAGATGCCAAGTGTCCGAATGGCCCATGTGACCAAAAGAATGCTGCAATGGTCATACGTGTGTAAAATGGTCATAAGTCACTTTTTTCAGTGCCTTTGTAATTCCAAAGGGTCACTAAATGAAAGGTTGTAAGTCAAGGACTACCTGTAATGTGCAGGCAAGTTTTGGCAATGGATCTTTGGGAGGCCCTCAAAAATTCATCCCATAAGTGAAAGTTTTCCCAATCCCATAGTGAGGGTGTGAAAGAACGTGGGACAAATGCCCTTGCTTCTCATTATTCAAACAAGTGAGGTGGAAGAGGGCGTCTTCTAGACCAGGGGTTGCCAACCTTTTGGATCTCAGGGACCACCAAACTCATAATTTTAAATCCCGCAGACCAGAGACCCTGAGAAAATCCTTTAAAAAGTCTGCAGGAAAATTCCCCACCCCGTTTTCCTACCGATCGATCATTCTTTATTTGGGATGGTCTCCAGCTCCGTTCTGGGGGGGGGGGGGAGTGAGGGAGAGAGAAAGACTTTTGACTTCATGCAAGGAAAGCAGCAGAAGTCTTTCTTTCTCTCCCCCAAACTCCATCAGAAATGAGTCTTTGTGAGACTTGTCGTGCTGATGCAGCCTTTTGGAGCAGGATGCCTTGCAGGGTCTCAAAGACTCGTTTCTGGTGGAGTTTGGGGGAGAGAAAGAAAGACTTTTGCTGCTTTCCTTGCATGCAGAAGAAGAAAGAAGCGAAAAGAAGCAGCCCGGTGGCCAGGCCAGGCGCTTGAGGCAAGTGGGACAAGTTGCCCACCTCCACCCTTTCCCCCCTCCCCTCACTATCTTATGTTGTTCACAATGCAAGCGATGTAAGCCTTGTGTTTCCGCAGGCCATTTGGGCGACACAGCCTTGTGTTCCCACGCGGCCTCGATTAATTGCTTTGGGGGTGACATTTCTCTGCAGACAACTAAAATTTTCTTGTGGACCACCAGTGTTCGCCAGCCCACTGGTTGGCGACCACTGTGCTAAAGCATATATGCATATGGGCCAATAATGCCCATTCCTTGTTTATCTCACATAAAAATGTCTGCAGATGGGTTTTTCCACATAGAGTCAACAATGTTTTCTCTTGATGCTCTTAAATTCCTTCATGCTCTCAAATGAATTGATGAAAAGATGTTGTAGCGATAAAGAGAGACTTAATTGTCACTCTGCCTGTATTATACATTGTAGAATTACATTAAGAGGGTGTTTTGGGAATCACTCTAAGCAAATTGTTATCAACTCTTCCCCAGTCTAGCAGGGAACAGTGAAAAATACACTGCAGGGATTCTTGAACAAAAGTAAAATGTTTTCAAAGACCAATTTTGCTTTGATAAACTGACGGCATTGTGAGCTTAGAATTAATATTCAGTATGAACTTTACATTAGGGATATTAGATGCTTTCAGCACTTTTACAGCTATTTGCAGAAGGTTTCAAGTTCAGATAAGAAATTCTGGAGAGCCCAAGGCCACCTAGGGACTGGGATGACATACATAGTATGCATGATTAATTTGCTAAAGAAATAGCAATTGAGTTCACACAGCACACCAACCCAAATTCAGATAAACCACATTATGGCTTAATGTCATATGTGGACCCAGCCAGTTGATTTTGCTAGATTAGCTGAAATAATGGTCTTAGATCCTACTGAGAGCTGGAAGAAATATACTATTTGCTACTTTGAGTCATGTTTTATTCAGAGAAATAGAGTCTTTATGTGGCACTAACTTCTGCAAATTAAATTGGATGTTGCCAGTTCTAATATCCATTCCCATCACAGTTGACATTTGTTTGTCCCAGAGCTCCAGTAAATGTTGCAACCTTCTGAGGCAGAATGTTATCAAAGACAAGGATCGTGTTTTGACTTTTTCTGATGCCTGAAACAAGCTAGTGCTCCCAGGCCTTTTATTATTATTGTTGTTGTTGTTATTATTATTATTATTATTATTATTATTATTAGCTGCTGATACTTTTTCTGTTATTGACATTGCTTTAATTTTGATGATGCTTAGGTATCTGATGATGGGCAATATGCTTTGCTTTCTATCCGGGAGGGATGCGATCCAGTGAACAGATTGTGGTACTGTAAACTACAGAAGGAATCAAAAAATATAACAGGTAAGATCACTCCTTTTTAGATTTGCCAAACCTTTGCTTAGTTGCTTGCTTGCTTGATTTTAAAAGTAACTGACCTATAGTAACCATTCGTTATATTGCAAATCAGCATTCAAGACATATCAATAACCGGAAAAATAGACAAAGCCCATTTGCTGTTTTACTCACTGTGTTATGCAAAAGATCCCGTTCTCATTAAATGGCCATTCAGATCTAACCTATTCCTCCCATCAGTCTATTAAATTGGGTTTCCTGTCCAGGTAGTTCTCAACTTACTACCACAACTAAGCCCCAAATTTATGGTTGCTATGTGAGAAATTTGTTAAGTGAGTTTTGTCCCATTTTATAACTTTTCTTGCCACATTTGCAGTTCTTAAAATTAGTAACTTGGTTGTTAAGTGAACCTGGTTTCCACATTGACTTTGCTTGTCAGAAGGTCACAAAAGGGACATGATCTGGGACGATACAACAGTCATAAAAGTGTCTCAGTTTTCAAACATCCAAATATAAATCAGATGACGGCTGGGATACTGCAATGGTCATAAGGGTGAAAAATGGTCATGTTGCTTTTTTTCAGTGCCATAACTTTGAACAGTCACTAAATGAACTGTTGTAAGTTGAGGGCTACCTGTATAGCCTTTATGCTCAAAAATTAAGAAACAGTTTATCTCTCATTTCTTTTTCCTTTTTAATCAGTAGTAAGCTGTGTTCTTGAAAGTGGGATAGCAGTGGAGAGTTTCCTTTGTTACACATGTCCTACAAAATCAAGACTGATGTGATGTCTGGGAATGTGAAAGAAAAAAGTGTTCCTAATAGACTACAACTGTGTAGGAAAATTCACACATCTATAGTTATATTGCTTTCATTGAACTACAGTACTGTGATTGTTATATAAATGAGTTATGATTCCAAAATTGGAATTTAAATCTGGATTTAAAATATTATATATATTTATCTTCTCTTCATAGAAATTACCTGTACTCTATTCATGGTAGTAACATATAGAGTAGACTTTCCCCTGATGACCTTCAAATATCTGTTGGAATACAGGTTCCTTTTTCAGGCAGCATGCTGGCTGGAGATAATGGAACAATAGCATCATAATTATTATTGCATTGTACTCTGCTATTTCATTTTGTGAATTTAGTTACATTCTTTATTGAACTGATAAAACCACATGGCGAAAAGTGTACTTGCAGACTAATATTGAAAAGACAGTCACAGTCTGTTGGTGTATGATGTGTGATATATAACCACCGAATCTTAATTACATACTGGCGGTTTTGGAAGATTAATTTGCGTTCATTCCGAGCACAGTTCCAACCTTAACAAATGAACTTCATAAGGGAAACATGTGGGAAGAGGATGTAGCCTAATATTCTTGTCATTTCTCAAGCTGTCTATTTTTGAAATAGGGCTTTAAAATTCAGATTAAAAATAAGGTTCATTTCTATATGTCATGCACTTGATTGCTTGCTAGGAAAATTGGCTCTCAAGTTTTAATTTATTTGTCCTCTTTACAATTTCCCTCTCTGGTGTGATAATCTTTCATTCTCAAGATTCTGAAAATCTTAGTCTTTCTGTTGTGCATGCAAGCTGTTGTAGGGTGTCGCTTTTTTCTTGTTTTTCAAATTAAAAGTATAATCTTAATAGGAAGTCATGTGGCTTGCTGGACTGTGGCAAAGTAACAGAACAGCATAGTCATATTTCTGTAACAGTTGAATAAAGAATCAAATTAACCTATGTCTGATTTTAAAAATTGGAAAGAGGCTTCTTTAAGATTACAGTTTAGAAGAACTTCCATTAACTCTTACAGCAGTCATTCAAAATGTTTATTACAAAGACCAATGCAATTAAAAATACTCAAAGAATAATTAAAAGTTCTAGAATAGAGTAATAAATAAAAAAGCTGTATTAAAATCATAATTTGGTGTCCTATCTGTCAGTTGTTTGTTCACAAGAATATAGCCGAAGCCAGGAGTGTCAAACTGGGCAGCCCCCAGGCCTGATGCAGGCCACGCCCACCCCAACTCCACGAATGGGAAAAATACCACGAAACATCACATGACGGCAACATAACACCACTAGTTTTGACACCTGTGGCTTAAGCTATATAATATATTAGTCCTTAAATTGTGAATGCCTATAGTCATTAGATACTAAAGTACAACAGTGATAATATCAAAATATTTGGTGCATTAATTATGTAAAATAGCTATAATGGTTTATTCATCGGGTTCCAACTAATTCATAGTGCCGCTGTGCAGAATCCAGTTACCTGCGCTATGACTACAATCTGTTCGTCTTTAAGCAGCCACTAAAAATAAATGGTGTCAGAATGGCCAGGATAGCTATTAATTATCAGGAAAGCTCTTAAAGCAAAATTAATAACTTACAGTATATAAATTATGTTTTATATTTATAAAACTTAATAACTTATATTTTACAAAATAATTGCATGCTACTCATCTTTGTCTTTCATGGCAATAAATATCTTTCAAAACCTATCATTTTAAGAAAAGAGGATTTTCTTATGGCATTATTTCAAAAAATTATATCAGTTGAAGTAAAAAGCCTGACAGGTGATAGAAGGAGTGTTTGGGGGCATCGTGGTGCCCATATTGCTGCCTGTACAGTATATCAAACAGCATCTGCTCAAGTTTTTAAAAAGTTGATGTCAAAGAGAAAGGATTGTATCAGTGGCAGCTTGGAATAATACATCAGCACAAACAGTTGAACTAATTTTAGGCATTCTCTAAATGCCTTTTTTCTACTTCCTCTGAACACATCTAGAAAAAGTTTCTAGAAAAAGTACAGAGAAGAGCAACCAGGACGATTAGGGGGCTGGAGGCTAAAACATACAACGAAAGGTTGCAGGAACTGGGCTTGGCTAGTCTAGTAAAGAGAAGGACCAGGGGAGACATGATAGCAGTCTTCCAATATTTGAGGAGCTGCCACAGGGAGGAAGGGGTCAAGCTATTTTCTGTAGCGCCTGTAGGCCAGACAAGGAATAATGGATGGAAACTGAACAAGGAGAGATTTAACCTGGAAATAAGGAGAAATTTTCTGACAGTGAGAACAATCAACCAATGGAACAGCTTTCCCTCAGAAGTTGTGTGAATGCCATCACTTGAGACTTTCAAGAAGAGATTGGACTGCCATCTGTCAGAAATGGTGTAGGGTCTCCCACTTGGGCAGGGAGTTGGACTAGATGACTACAAGTTCCCTTCCGACTTTGATTATCTGTTATATGTTACATCTGATTGCTGTATCTTTACTGTTTTTATGATATATTTTTAGCAATAGTTGCTATTCCTAGATGGGCAATTTCTACACCTTTGTGTTCATTGTGTTTGTTGTATGTTTGGTAATAATACAAGCTGTTTTCCCTCTTGTTATCCTTCCAGTGAATGTTCATTCTGTTTGATTGCTGACAGTCTCTTGGATTTCTATTCAGTCTCTATTGACACTCTGATAGTATCTTGGTTTCTTTATCACTACATTGAAACAGTAATTTGGCAAATTTCAATGTTACCTGGGAAACCATTTCTGCTGTTTAATAATGCTCCCTCTCTGCTTAATTCTGTGAAGGATTGTCCTTCTCTTTTTCCAAGATTCCCCATTGTGTTCCATTTTGTTTAGCAGAAGGAGAAATGTGTAATGCCTATACATTCTAGCACATAATCCAAGTTGCAGCACTTATGGCTACCTACTTAACTCAAATAGAGAAGCAACTTAGAACCAAGGAGAAATTTCCTGACAGTGTGGACAATTAACCAGTGGAACAGCTTGCCTTCAGAAGTTTTTAAGAAGAGATTGGTCAGCCAACTGTGTGAAACGGTATAGGTCTCCTGCTTGGATGGCAGGATCTCCGAAGTCCTCCCTCCTCTATTGTTCTGTTCTGTTCTTCTTTTATTCTTTCTGTGATCATGTGTATCCATCCCGTCAAGCCCAATGAAAGTCCAAAGTGATATAGGATCTCCTGCCATGGCCAGGGCATTGAATAGAAGACGCCTGAGGCCCCTTCTAGCCTATTATTCTATGTTCTATATTCTATGGCTAGCAGGATAGCCATGGAAAAGGTACAATTTCATTAAGGAATATTGAAAACATGGAAATCCTATGGATCTCATTTGCTGGCCAGTTTGGGAAGCTTCACCACTAAGCCACCATTTGCTCAATAAACATTCAATATATGGGTTAAATAAATAAGCTTTGTCATACTGCTTTGCCAGCCTGGAGCCAGGCTGTTTCTCCATTTTCTGCCTATACTATGGCTTCCTTACTTGAGGCTTCTCATGAACACAATTCGATGTTCCATTTTTAAAGCACATGCCACAATTTGTTGTGATCACAAGCCTTTCTGTAATCAGAAAAACTTTTTTCATATTCTTCATATTCTTTTTTCATATTCTGTGATTTATTTATTTTTGAATTAGCGGTTAGCATCAGAAATAATGTTTCATGTTCCTCAGCCAACTTGAACATCTCGCATCTTTTTTCCATGTAGGACTCCAATCTGTGTTGGATGATCTCAAGCATTATTTTTCTGGCATGTGAAATTAAGGTTATTGGACAATAATTTGCACACTCTCCTAAATCTTTTTTTTTTTTTTTGTAATGTAGATTGACCTCTTCCAATCTGTTTGCTACTGTGTTATTTTCCAGATTTCCTGGCATAGCTTAGTTAGACTTTTTACTGATTCTTTTTCTGTAGCTTCCAATACTTCTGTAGGTTTTCCATCAGTTCCTGAAGACTTTCTGTAATAACCAGAGCACTGGTCTAATTTCATCTTGTAGAACTAAGTACAAACTTCTTGAAAGTAAGGATATTGGATGTTAACATTTCTACTGTACAGTGTTTCAGTATATTGCTTCTTTCTAACACTAACTGACTAATTTCCTTAACAGTTGGCATGCTGTGATATTGCTGTATTCTTCATGAAATTGTCCTCTGTAAAGGCTGTCCAAGATTGTAATAGTCACAGCATCTTGTGCAAGCG